ATATCATGACTGATATATTTTTTGAAATGTCCAGAATGAGTAATTTATTATCTAGGGGACCAACATCAAGAAAAAAACAGTTTTTTTGACTGCAGAGAGCTGAAAATTCGCATAGATGTGCAATAAATTAAGAACAACACATTGTGTGAGTTTGAATTCATTTTATGAAGATATAGTTCCTACTTTTATTGAATTTTTCGTTTTTCCCCACAAGACCTTCAGAGAAAAGCCGACAAGTGTAGTGCTTGGGCTACTTGTGATTTGAAGCCGTGTCAATTGTGTTTTTCGTCGGTTTGTCTCCAACCTCGCCATAAATATATATAAGTAGGGGAAAGTTTACCATAATGAGTTGAAACTTCACAGGGGTGTTGAGAAAAATAAGACTGAGAACACTATGTTGTAGTTTGAAATAATTCTATTCAGTTTTACCACTTTTATCGAACTTTTCGTTTTTCACTGCCAAGTCTAGTGCTTGGGCTAACTGTGATCAAGGTAGAGACACGTAAGATTTTAAACAACGCAAAAAACGGAAAGCGCGCGAGGAAACACAGCAATACAGCGCGAGCTAATTACAATAGATAAAATGTAAAATGAAATGGAATGAAATGAAATGGAGTGAAAAGACTAAAGAAATGACAGACTATGACAGTGAAGCAACAAGTAGATATATATGTAACAAAAAACTTAAATGAACTTAAGTAATGGTTTGTATGTTTCTGGTATTGTTCTGCCAGTGTCTCTGTTTGATAGCACTGAGTTGGTATTGGCTATCAGTAGGGCTTCCAGCYACCTCCTAATTAGACGTTTATTTAACAAGTAGTTAATTTCACAAATTTTACTCTTAATATATGKGATTTCAAATCACTTCATGATTTATTTATGGATGGACGTATAGGCGAACAAGTCACAAGTTTTAGATGATCACTTTTCAACACCTTTAGGGCACGAGTTCACCCTGCCTGTCAGGATCTAGTTGATATATAACGCGCGCTGATTGGCTGACGACCGTGTTTATATCAGAGGACAGAGACACGACTTACGGGCAAAATTTGCTTTTCGCTCGAAAAATTTTATAAAAGAAATATAAAACGGCCACTTGTGTCTCTGTCCTCTGATATAAACACTACGCTACACTCGCTACGCCCGTGTTCCTAAGCTTGCTTCTCTCGTGTTTTTCTGAAACTGAAACTGTTTTAAAGTGCTACTTGCATGAAAATGGCCTTATTTCAAAGCTTCAAGCAATACAAATATATGAATCATTTATATCTATTAAAAACAATTGCGGGAAAATATTTCTCTTGGAATTATCCCACATCAGAGAAATTTTGATTCAAAAGATGGAAGAACAAAAGGATCGAGTAAATGACGTCATCTACTCCAACATTTTTTGCCCAAATTATTACAGCGCTGTAAGGA